AGGTGAGCTACTTCCGCTGTTACTAGGGGTTTTTTTATTTATTTATGTATAAGAGTGAATGGATTTTTGCTTACCATAGACTGTTATTCGCACCAGGACCCACACGCACGGAGTGAGACGTATTATATAACTCGTCCGAACGCCCCACTCTTCTTCATTTCTCTTTCTCGTCCAGCCCCCTTTCGAAGCCTTTTTCACTTTAGAACTACCGATGAACGCAGTTTCTTCGCCTCAGTCGCACTAGTTTCGATCTTGTCTTCCATTTTTCATCATAATCTGGATTACCCAAAAATATCGTGAACTGTGCCTTTAAGAATGGAGTCGCACTGTAAGAGATGGTTGTACAAATGCAAACAATAAAGTACTCAAGAGATGAATCTATACTTTTCCCGTTTAAAGTAGCTTTCCACCGTGCCACCTAGCGGTTCTACGTGTGGAAGATACCTCCGAGGGGTCACAACGGGACGAATAGGGAGTGACTGATCATGCCTCTTCCTCATATGGAAATCGATGAAATTCAATTGTACTTGATTGGCATATCGTAAATAGCCTATTCAAAGACACAGTTCACAAACACGAACGGACTTCAAAATCAAACGTTTCAAAATTTTAGATAAAGCATTGCATTGAGCTTGAGGAGCTGAGTTCAACCATATAGCACACTATATGAAAAAGTGTAAATCAACCTAGTTACAGAGAAAAACGGAAAATGCTTTTCTTCGTGTTTTTTGAACATCTAGTGTGGGTATTGTAGCGCAGTGCATTTTTCTCCAACTCATTCTCGTCGAGAAACTTGAAAAAATTTCGAGTACTATCTGGAGACAATTGCATTTTTTCGGGGTAGACTTTTCTAATCGGAGTAGAACATACAATCAAATCAGTAGTCATTTTTCTCGTGTTTTTGAAGGTTCCGCAGCGTACTCCTTCCCAAGCAAGTGTATTCGGGAAAAGGTTTGTTTGTGAGGCAATACGACCGTACGGAGGTTTGTCGCTGACCTGTCTACACGTCGCAATTCAAGAGACTGTCATGTGGGAAATGTTGAAACGAGAAGCGATCTCGGATAAGGACTGACCAAATGCGCGCAAAGACGGAACGGTCGGTAGACGTCTGCAAGGCTCCACCGTTTTTCAAAATCTGATCAATAAGAGTATCAAAGTAGATATGTGAGCTGAGGTTCATCATAAACATAAGGGAAAGTGCAGATTTGGAGGAACCCTTCAAACAAGGAAATTGCGGACGTCCGAAAACTTGTTACCATATTTATGGCGCATCCTGTACATTGCTTTGCAGTGCCCCAGACTGTTCAAGTAAGTGCTTTTATGCTTGCACGGCATTCCTGTACCACAGTACCGAAGGAGGGATGGAAGATTTCATTGTCTTAAATAGGGAATCCAGGCCATTGATAGCCGTAAAAAAGCATCACATAGCCCTCAGCCCATCCGAAAAAGAAACGACTTATGCAGTTCTAAATGGGTAGAATTGAGACAAACTTGTTTTCACCTCTCCCCCATGATCTCCCATGGTACAGACGATATCATGGTGATATGAATGACAGTACCACAACACATCCCTGGTAAGATTCATTCGCACTCTAGCTCTCCTGGGATATCGTTCATCGCCATGAGTGAGAGGTAAGGTTGAATCGGTTCACGAAGGACATGGTCCCTTCATTTCAAATCTTCACAGCATTTCAGAAGCTTACCAGATGACGGCTCGGATCGAGAGCGTGCAAAAGGCCAAGGAGGCCTCTCCGGTCATGAACTGTTCCTCGTGATAATGGGCATCCTCCTGCTTGCGTTCAGTGGTGTACAAGTCTACTACAATTACCATTATTCGGGCCTTGCCCATACCATCATGCTCGCCATTCTTGCCACTTTATTCATCTTCGGAGTTTGTACGAGATCTTCAACGTGCATGTTAATCGCAATGATCTTTTTGATTCTCTCACTCATTGTGCAAACAGGTGGCTTGGTGCATTTTGCGATCGAACATATTAGTGACAATAAAGAGCTAGGAACGCCGTCGATAATATTCCTAGTGTTTGCTATTGTATGCTACGTATTTTACACTTTGGCCTGTATCTCGACCTTCGTGCTACGTAGACAGTATTAATTTTGAAGATAACCGAGTAAACCGTTTTGTCGACAAATTTAAAGCCAAAAAATAAACATTTCCGCAATCTTCTGCAACGTATATCACTTTGAATACCCTCAACACAAGATCATCCGAACGATGACATAAGAACTATCATTCCTTACTCGAGCAGGGATCAACTCAATACTCAGAGGAGAACAGTGTCTCTGAAATGACCATAATAATCATGTTCCCCCTTCAACTCCATTCCTCCACTCTTCCAACCCTTTCCTTTACTACCGATCGGTGCAACACCCGCTGTATTACAACGCTTAACAACTCGTCCGCATTGGCTGTGTACATCGGCTAAACCGCTTATAGGATCCTATTACGCCCTAGCTTGACCATTTTTCGACTCGACAGTGTCCCTTAGGCTAACCTTGGAGGCCACAGATTCAGGGAAAGATCTCAATAACTATTTTTAGCGTGAACTGTGTCTATTATTGTTCTCCCACTACAGTCTCCGTAAGGGGAGACGAGCTGGACATTGAAACTTCCTGGGAGGTCCCGCACTGGCTAACTACCTATTCTATCACCTCTACAAATCTGACAGGGTCGTGTTCAAGGCGTATTCCCGATTAGTAATGAAAATGGAGCGCTAGTAACTATATACTGTCAAAACAGAAATTAAGAATTCTGGCTCACTGATGCGTCATTTGTCCATGATAATAAGATATATGGAAGAGTGTGTTCATATCTGTGGGTTTGTTCAGAACTCCATTTCCTATGGCAAGTCCCTAAAATAAATTGATGGATAAAATGAATTATTAAGCCAGTTTCTCTGACCACAGTAGCTCCTGCCCTACAGCACAAATTTCAAGTCATCAGGGAGTTTCAGAGGGTTCTGTAACATATGTAGGTACCTTATAGTTGATGTTCAACGTCCCATTCTGTATTCCTTGTATAAGCAAGGCTGAAAGTGTAGGAATGTAGACACCAGCGTATGATTCTCCAGTGGTATAAAAGGGGCGAGTCTGGTACTCAGGGTAGAGATTGAAGAAGTCCACAAGAGCCACATAGTTCTCGGCTGCCGTCTGAAAAAATTGGTCAATAAACGATTTTCACCAGTCCAGGAAGATTAATTACAGTACATTGGGATAGACGCGATGAAGACTTTATTAATTTGTTCTAGTCTCTTCGGATAGATATTATTCAAACGCTCGCCCCTAGCGGAACTATCAACCGCGGTGTACAGTATCGTGCAGATTTACTTGAATATCCTATCTGTAGCTTATAAGGACCTTCGAAAAAATTTTGCCTTATACGTGAGCACTCACGATGCGGCATCAAATTGGTAAATCGACTCGGAGGCGATGTTTTCGTTTACTACACCTGCAGCGTCTTTCAATGGAACAATCTTTGCTCATTGTCAGAAGTACACCCTTCTGACAGCCATCCAAGCAGGAATACTGCAGCTCTACAGGCAATGCCTACTACTTGGTTGGAGCAGCTTCGATCATTACTTACTTCTTTTCCTGAGCCTCCAGTCATTTGAAGAAGAAAAGCTCACAAATACGAAGTGAGTGATGACCATAGTTGTTTTACTCATGTTATCTGCGTTTCCACCAAAAATCAATCCCATCTCCCAACTCACTATTATATTTCGAAATGGAATAAAGTAATAGAGTATGAGACTTACCACATCATCAGAATATTGTGGTAACTGGCCATCTGTGGAGTATGAATATCCAACTCCCACAGGAGATTCCAAATAGAGAACATTTGCAAACTGTAAAGCACGATTTCAGAAAATAAATTTGAACACTGAAAAAGTTCCCATGTGTTCTCGAAAAACCCAGATTCTAAGCCGTACTGACAGGCCATCCCACCAGACTGGACACGAGGGATAGGGTACGCGTTCTAACAACTTTCTACGTACAGTAGCGCTCGAAAGTATTCGACCAAATGCTTCTTCATTCGTACTTTCCAGTCATAACTCCTTTCCTACTGAATCTAATCAAGCGAAATTTCAATATGTGTAGCATTGGGGTAGTGTGAATATCATCCGCTATTAACCTGCATTTTGAACATGTTCCAAATATCCCAAATTGAAATCAAAACCAACTGAAAGTAGGAATATCGGTGCTTTTAGGAGTTCTTTCCTTTTTGCCATGCCCAAAGCTTACAAGCGCTAATGAACACAGAGGAAAAGAAAAACGCAAATAAGGTGCGAATAACCGTACATAGACGTCACAAACTTGCTTTCAGCTTAGTCTACAAACACTTCCCTTAGTTAAGGCAGTCAAAAGTGTTGCATAGTGTGCAATATGCTTCAGTTAAACATAACAAAACTTCATGCGATTTGCTTGTCTGGGAAAAAAGTACGGCAAGTTAAAGTTAGCCGAATACTTTTGAGCGCTACTGTATGTTCCGGACAACTCGTACACCTCGCTCAAAGTTCAGATCGATAACAATACCGCAGTAATTGTAAGCTCACTCAACAATTTATACAGAAGTGAGTTTTTCACCACAGCATTCCTTCCCTCCTCCACCGATTCAAGTCACTAGTCCACCACTAGTCACCTGGATCGGATCGAGTAGGTAGTTCTGCGAAAAACACAACAAATAAAAACACTCCATACCCCATCACAGACTTTCAAAAGTGTGAACGCTCAAATTTCTACCAAAGATCAGCCGCTGAACGAAATTCCTAATTTCCAACGAACCGCTTCTAGTGGTATACATACTTGACCCACCGATTGCTAGTAAACGCAAATGAAAAGTTTGGAAATTGTTCCATCCAGGGAAACCCTTTTCACATATTGTAGTCTGACAATATTCGAAGGATGAGAAGAAAGAGTGACCTGATTCCAAGCGTATGGATTTCTCGTCACTGTTTGACCATCTTTACCTATCCTGAATGGTCCATTTTCGAAAAACAATCCTTCCAATGAACTAGATCCTGGACCGCCGTTCAACCAGAGTACCAATGGAGCTTGGGTCGGATCGACCATTTCTGATTCAACTAGCCTGAAATAAAAATTCAAGTTCACCTATGGAATAAAGCTCCACCTGTTTCAGGTCAAGATTCAAATAGTCACCAGTAATGCAGCATATGAGTGGCAGATCCTCGTAGGAATCCGGAATACTGCTTGAATCCCAAAGGAGCTTTTAGTCCGGGCATCGAAATTATTCTATCTGATTCCTATAACAAAAGTTTAGTTGACTACGTGAATTATCCTCATCCATTGCCTTTAAATGATGGAACTTTGACAACACTGCCATTTTTACTCGGCTTCCACTTTATCAATGATTTTAATGAGAATAGGGGGAATGGTTTAGCATTTCACCTTTCGTGTGCAGGTTTGTGGAGCTACAGGAGTAGTAAGTAGAGGTTTTGGAGTAATGTCGACCTAAAAACGATAGCGATAACCAAAAATTTTTCACAGTCACATAAAAACAAAAAGGTGGTCCTACATTGAATATTGGTGTACTGTAATTTGCTTGATTTGTGATGAAATTGACAAGCATTTGGAGCGCTTGTGCCGGTCGGTCCATAGGCACGAAATGGCCTGACCCCTTAAGATAAACAATCAAAATTATTATTCAAGAACTCACCAAATACGGAAGCTAATGAATTCTCTCATTCCCTACAAACACGTCCAGCCAATTACCTTCACAGTTAATTGTACGAGATTCTGACTCCATGCTTTCGCAAAGCCGGCTATTGTCGGGTTGTATCCAGGTGCTAGTTGATAGGTCCATTGTTGTCGATTGTACAAGACCTAAAAATATTCGAACTGCTCAATAGGCAGAACATCTCTGATTTTCAAGTAACCCCATGAACATTACCTTCCCATTCTGTTAGGTTGACCAAGAACAACACAACACAACATACACTCTTAGGCTAACACATAGGAAGGGTTCCCGGATCGTATAACATTGCAACCAGGTGGACCTTCTACCATACAGTATCGCGCTGATTTGTGACAGCCTCACATGGTGGCAGAACTGCCCCGCACCAGCCATTGTGCAGGTCAAACACCTATCCTACACACCTTTACAGCCTCAGCTGGCTACGGACGCGTGGCGCATCGCTAAAATACAACTCCGGGACGGGCATCATTACCTTAGTCGATGGGTTTCCTCATTCAGAGAACCATTAATGACAGTAAGATTAGCTTAGCGTAGAGGAAAAGCAGGTGATGCCCTCGGAATAGGAAAAGAACCGAGCACACAATGTTTCCCATCAGAGGAACCATTCGCTACAAAACCTTTGTCCATGTCCCTTTCACATCCTGGGCCTGAATTTCAGGTGAAAGGGGCCTGGTATCAGTAATCCTCTAGATCCCTCCTTCGCTCATTACGAAATAGGCCCATTCAAGCCAACCCTAAAACAACCTCTCCCATTTGGGTGTGCATTATCAAATTTAATTGAGGAATTCCTGAATTAGTAAGCTGAGGAAACTGTAACTTACTGTGAGATTACGCTCTTTGACCAGATTCTCTATGAACCATTGGTCGCCAAGGAATTGACAGACAGTATCCACATCACCGTTGTAGAACATCAAACGCATGTTATTGCTCGAATAGGTCTTCGAGTTCATGATCGAATGGATCGTTGCTGACATATCGTAGTATTTGACTTGTTGGTGATAGGCCAAGTCACTGGAACGAAATTCGTCAAATACTTTGGCATAAGCTTTCACGTCAGTAGTGCCTACACTTAGATGCAGCAATCAGGCCGCTTTCTGGGTTGGACTGTCTGGAATTGCTCACAACTTCTTTGCATCCGGGTGACAGCTCGTAGGCGGAACTGCCTGGAGTTGCCTACACACCCATCAGACAACCGGACAGGTTATATCAAAGCAGTAATGAAGGAGGAGGGGAATAGGAAGTGGAAATAATTTTTCGACCAGCTTATGGTAAACATTCATCGCCATCTCTTCGTTCAAAAACTTTCTATTAGGGAAGAAAGTCCAATGTTTGTTTTGAGCAGGATCTGGCATACTCTCTATATCCTACACATGATTTGCACTGAACCTTCTTGGTCAAAAAGTAACCCGGATCCCTTCCTACGATTTTTTCACACTCGAATTGGTCCTGCATGTACGGCAGGACGACAACTGCTTCGTTGGTGGCAACGTACTTGGAGACTCTCTAAAAATCACCTGCAATCCGTCCATTGGTCTCGATGGACCAGTTTTGCATGAATGGCCGACATAACATCAGGGCGATTCAAATATTTTTGCATACTGTCGTCATTGAAACACGGGAAACCATGGAACGCATCGGTTGACCCATACCACGACTTCGTCTAGAAAAATTCGGAAAATGAATAGGAATAGAAGCTAGAGGGTCAAGTAAAATCGAATTTCAAGGTCAAAGAGCTTTCCCTTTTTCTCAAAAATTAGAGTCATTTTGGATGGTTTCATTCTACCGTATCCTCTACCCTGAGCTGAAAAATACAGTGAATTGCTCCTGCTCTATCTAGCGCCTTGCCTGACAATAAATGCCTATGCACTAGCATTTTTGTTCATTTCGTTTTTTGCCGTCATTTCGGTTCCATCTACACGTCTCCTTCATTTCTTCAGTTTTAGCGCACATTTTAGTGTAATATGAGAGTGAAATGTGAGTGAAATAAAAAATAATAAAAGTAAAAAAAATACAGATGAACGATCAGGTTAAGGCCTCGAGCGGGACTTCTTTCTCACGAGCGCGCGATCGCGGCGCCCCTCCCGCTTCTCTGGCAGGTCACCTTTCCGATCCAGAAATAATCCTCTTCCCTTCGATTTCCAAAGTATTTTTTTAGAGTAATCTTTAGTAAACATCATAACTTACACCATAATCACTGAAGAGCGGTTGTGTTTGGACTGCATCGGTGGTTTGTGTGAGAGCGGTTCGTCGCCGTTTCATTACAGCCTTTCGCCTACTCGCCAATTTCAGTGATTTTCCACTTCCCGGTTGATATGGCCATAAGTAGCAGTCCTGATAGACATTGTAAGGATCGGGTCTGGAAAGCTTATCTTCAACATGGACACACCCTTACAGATGTTCCATAGATGGAGCCAGTACGACCATTTTCACTACCTTCACGACAATTAGAAGAAGTTGAAGTAGAATTCAAGCCTCGAAGGGGAACTCACATAACTCTGTCGAAAACGTCAGTAATACGATCGGCAGTAAAGGAACATGTCGAATTCCATGGCGCATCATAGTAGTTATAATAAACAGGGTTACTTTGTCCACCAGTACATTCCTTTGATAGAGTATTCCAGTCGCTGAACAAATACAAAGCTCATGCTTGGACCGGCCATTATCGAATTACAATTCGTATTTGAAATACCTCGGATAAACTAAAAAGATTTGGGGATTCTAGTAAAAATGTCCAAGCTCTTGTTGAGCAAGGAGTAAAGCATACTAGAAAGCGATCCGACCACGGTGGGCCTAGTTCTTAGGTCTCATAATCTCCTTTCGACCCTTTCGTTACCCCTTAATCACAAGGTTGCAAAACTAGCAAGACATAAACTCAGACTCCAACTTAGTAAACAAACAAATAAATGAGTGGTCAAGTAAACTGACTCGACTCCATTGAATCCATGTCCATATTGCAGAACCATTTCTGAGTTGTACTGTAGATATTCGCTAAGGATACCATTGCCTATTGCCATACCCTGTAAAATAGTGATACCTGATGTACACGATATCAAACTCAACTGCACAATAGTAGTTCATGTTTGAAAAGTACAGTACAAGCCAGAACCCGAACTCGGACCATTGCTTCAAGAGCAATGCCCTCCCTATCCTCGAAATTACCAGAACCGTCACGGGAAGATTTCAGTAAATAAGGGTTGGAGTAGATTTTCTTGCGCGCAGAACTTTTTCTTCCCAGCAGGCATTCAACTGGAACTTTAGATTTTTGAGCACACCTCTCACCCAAATACGCAACAGTTCTCATACCCACACTTTATGAAACTCAAAATCAGGGACGCCCAGAATTTTCTTTTCGATTCATTCGATGAATCGGAAGAGTCCGCTTTTTCTACCATGGCGCAATGAAAAAGCTTCAAATGAAGCTAAAGCATTGCTAGTAAAATAATGGCAGGTCCTCTTTCAAAGCTGGCAACAGGAACACCCAAAAACTTAGCTGTTGCACATATTATTCTCAGGAACCCATACGCATTATTGGCAATGTTCCAACATACTTTTGGGCAACGGAAAAGTTCTGACTAGGGAGACTGAAAAAATGAGTGGAAGAAGAAGTCGAATTATGCCCGCTGCAAGGAGACCTTGTCAGAGGCAGAGCTTTTGCAGTGAATTTCCTACTATAGTCTGGAAGATTCACGAAGGAACCTCAGTTCAGTGCGAGTTCAACAAAGTACCTTAAAGTTCAGATTAAGTTGACCAGAATCAATCATTTGCACTAGACGGAGCGACAATGTTGGTCCATAAACGCCTCCGTAACTCTCTCCAGTGACAAAGAATCCATTGTTTCTGTAGTTGGGGAAAACCGCATCGAAAAAGTATTTGATTGCATGGGCGTTGTTGTCAGCGGTCTAAAATCATATATTTACAAAAGAAACATATTTATGACATAGCAACTACAGTTTTTGAGGAAGTCGCATTTTTCTGTCCAATTTTCAAATGGCTAGTTTACAATAAAATGATGCACCGTTTAGTTAACAAAGAGATCTGCAGGTGTACGACGCGTGCGGTCGCTGCGCGGTCCGTAGGGAAATAAGAATTAATTGTCTTACCGTATCATCGGACCAATAGTAGGAGGCGGGATCGTCCGTGTAAGAGAAACCAACACCTACAGGTGCCTCGAGAAATAGCACATTAGCCATCTGTAAAAGAAGAACACCGTTGAACCTAGGGCTCAATCAGTCGGATCAATCAATAAATCGATAAAAGCAAGGGCAACTCACTTTATTCCAAGAGTACACATTTTCGAATAACGTAGTACCATTATCGTTGTTATTATGGAACGGACCAAGCTCTTCCAGAAGACCTCCTTGAAGAGAAACCTTTTTCCCTCTGCTGAGAGAAAACCAATAAAGAAGTTATGTTGACAAGAGCGCTCACCTAGCGAACTACAACCAGGTCCACCGTTCAACCACAGCACAACGGGGTCGTTTACAGGGTCGTTTTGTGATTCCATAAACCTGAATCATTGATTGCCCTACTCAGATCACTATCGATTGATTTCTACAGTACGCCGGCAGAAAATAGGAGCACGCGAAGAAAGCATTTAGAGGAAAAGGTGTGAGCATCAAAAGTATAAAAAGAAGGTAAAAAGAGGTAGTCGCCTAAAGTGAAGGAAATTTGTTCAGGATAAACAAAGGTCCAACAAAAATTTTCGTCAGCGAGCTATGGGAAGAGGCCTGCTGAGGAAAGACCGATTTTTAAGCGGAGGTGCTGAAAGAGGTGGCATGATTAGGAACTGGGTTAACGACTGCAACGATAAATTTTCATACCAACAAGACCCATTCTAGCTGGCCCCACTCAAGATGTGAGTACTTATTGTACGGTGGAGGAACGGGGAAGATTGGAAAAAAGAGGGAGAAGATGATATCGACGAAATCAAGAAATTTTTTAATAAAGATCCAGCGCCAGAATGAATTGTCTATCAATTCAATTGAGTCGTATCAAAAAAGAAGCAGAAAAAACGGAGCAAACTCGAGAGATCCCAGACTAGAGTTTTTCAAACTCAATCGACTTACCAATAGAATAAATGATTACTGGGATAGACAGTCGACGTGAGATAACCAGAGAACTGACGGAATGTCACATTAAATGTGAGACCTGGCAAATCGGTAATCATATCAGCCAGAGCCTTATCAGTTAGATTCGATGGATCCGTGTTCAGCCACATCTCTGTCTGTAAAAAAAACCATTACGCTGTAACTTTCACTCAATGATGTGAATTACCCGGCATTTTTGGGAAAAAAGCTTTCCGAATATCCCCCTGACATCATTGGGTATATACGGTCAGTATTTGGGAGCATGCATTAGGGCACTATCACTGAGCTAGAAGTACCCGCGCCCTTAGAATGTAGGGGCGGACATCCCTTATCCTCACACTCCCAATTGGTGCGCCTGCTCCCGCTGCCCAATCGGGAGTGGTGACCCCGGGGTTCCGCTGGTCCCGCCCTCCGTACCCATCAGTTCATTAATGCTCGCCTTTCTTCAACCTTGACCAATAAAAATTTCTGAGGTATCGTCACAGTAAATAAGTCTACACGCGCGACGCCTGACCCTGCGCAACGCAACCGCGTGCGCAGATGTTTAACGAGTTGCGATCCCGCGAAATGTTGCCAAGAAACTACAAGAAATACTCACATTCTTCATGGCACTTTCATCTTCTTCGTCAAAATCAATCATACCAGGAATAGTTGCAGCTGGAATAGTTGGCATTGCTGAGGGGGCAGGATAAGCAGTTTCTGAGCAGGTGCCCAATCCAGAATACTCGGGTTTCAATGGTGTAGGTTCGGTCATGCCGGGTGGCAGACCGATACTGAGCGGATTGTTCTGTAATCACCACTTTCTGTATCCAAATCGCGCAATCCAAATTCATTTAGAACGAAATCATTTGTGCTAACCTTGACAAAGTTATAGATCATTTGAAGTGAAGGGCCTGGGCGATCCATGGGGACTAAATGTCCCGATCCTTTGACAGTGACCAAATGCAGATTTTTGGTGAAGATCTGTAAAGGAGAAGAAATTACATTATAATGGTTTTGAACGATGGTGCAGTTTTGTTCTGAAGAGCAGTCTTACGACAAAATAGCGAGTTGCTGGGCGAGCCGCACTGCAAACGCGCGCATGAGTCACGACAATTAAGGACCCGTGTTTAATTAATGTTAGCTATGANTCACCTTTTCGTAGCCAGCTAGTTGGCGTTCGTTACGGGAGCTCAGTTGGTAGTACCAAGGCTCGCGCTTAGAAGCTGTCTGAAAGTCCATATTCAGCAGGGAAAGAGGCAATCAAGATGGCTTTCTTGAAAGCAAAAAGGAAAAACAAATTTAACTGCAAGTAGATTATGCTTACCGCTAGGGAGAGGTTAGCGGCCACTTGTTCTATCAACCATTGATCACCGAGGTGATTACAGACCTGATCCGTGTCACCATTATAGATCAACATCCGCATGCCCTTTGCCTAAATGCTCACACTTCGATGATAACATGAGATAACTGACGATCTTGAAGTCATTGTTAAACGGTTCGTTTCGAGCCATCTGGCTAAGAAGTAAGCAGATTCAGCAGATCCTTGCAAACATTATTACAATGAAGTAGTTCAAGATGAGTATGAAAGTGACTTAAAGTAGCTTTTACTATGAAAAAGCCAGTACTATACCAGTATCAAGTTTCGCTGACTTATAAGCTATAGCACATGAACATAGACAAGCTCACAAAAACGAGGTCTTTTCTTCAATTTTGAATTAGACATATTACGGCGATACAGTTGCCTTATATAAGCAAAGCTAATTAATGTATGTGCAATTAACAGGTAGTTCTTTGTATGGAAATGTAGAGGGGACCGGTCAACCTAGAGTTTCTAGTATAAACCGCTAAAGCGCAGAGAAGGAGGTGTAGCTGACTTCATGATCCCGTAATCATGCTCAAGATAGTTCCTCAACCAAGCCAGGGCAATGTAGTTTTCACCTGATTGTAAGCCGAAGTAGCAGGGGAGGAAGTCCGAGGTAGGGGGATCGATTGGTTTTTCAGATATTACCCCATCCCAGCTTCTTCTACGAAGTAACCATCTCAACCATCGCAGTACTCCTCCCCACCAAAGCTCAGGTTAAGGACTATGTTCCTTTGAACAAATCATCCCTATGCATAGGTAAGGGGTAAGGGGTGAAGTGGGCATCCCCTTTTTCTCTGCTCCTTGACTCATAATGTTAAAGGCAAGAGGTGCCCCACCCCCCCATCTATATTTTCAAAGTGCTTTTGTACTCATTAAAACATCTCCCCTTGATAATACATATTTTTTTTTATTTTTCATGGACTCAACTTCACCTGGTAGAGGTAGTTGCTCAGAATAAACTGCAGTTCACCATCCATTTCGAAATAACTGCGATTGTAGTATAATGTGTTCAATGGTTCGCTGCAATCAGTACAATGTAGCTTGATTTCTATAAAATATTCCGAATAAGCATTGTAAGATGATTTTCCTCCGTTTTGCAAAGAGTTTCCGAGATATGTATGAGGCACAAAGCGAAAGAAAATAGTAAAAATACAGGACAGCTATGAGCAGAAGCTACTAATTGCTGCAACCTGTAGAAATTTATTAAGTGAACGATTTTGTGGATAGGCAGAACAGATTGCTTTGAACAGACGCGAGCGGTCGCGGCGCAACACTATAAAACTTACCTATGTTTGGCTATTTTGCATTAGGGCAATTGTCTGCTGTGAAATAATTAAATACTTCATATGAGAGTGAAGTATGAAAGTGCACTTTGTCGTTGAATGCCCACCGGGTTAAGAGATCTTTCCCAAATGAGCGTGCTCTAAGATGGGCAGAAGCCATCTATCAAAATTCAGCGACTCGAATTATGGGGTTCATAGAAAGAAACACGGAAAGAGAAAAAATAAAAAGGAAGATAGTAGTATCATAAAACTGAAACTAGAGATAGCCCCGATTACTGCTAATATTTTTGCACACAATTTTTGTTTTTAAAAGAAGCTTATGAGACAAAATTCACTTAAAATTGGGATTAAAGGATAGAGATATAGATATAGCTTCAAAATTCCTCATTATTACATCACTTACTTGGAATTTACCCATGGTTGTACGAAGTCGGGAATATGAAGAGCAGCTCGGACTTCAGGCTGATTCATATAGACAGCAGCCATATCGTCACACCAACATGGAAAACCGTCCAGAGAATCGGACGAGATTGCGTTGGTGTACTGAAAACTTTGGGATTGACCATAAAAAGACAGACCAGAAAAAGCTAACAAATGAGAAAAACTGAAAATCCAGTCTCTCGTTTACTAAACCTTCCCTGGCTAATTTGTTGAGACTCCAATTCCTAGCTGTAACAGATTATTTCATGGGCCACATCTCTACCTCTCATGCACCAGCTCCGCCTTTTGCAGAAAGCTCCGCCTGTTTCATTTGGATCTTGCAACATCACATTCTCAACGTTTTCGGCAATGCCCTAGCATGTCCAGAACAGTTGCAAGCCTTATATTGGACCAAATAAAACTGGTACGTGTTTATCTAGTCCTAATATTCATCAATATGAAACAGTGGAAGTGAATTGCACGGATGATGTGACATTAGGTTCAGTTCTCAACTTTCTGCAAAACTTATGTAATCACAGAAAGACAATAACAGCTCATAAATCTCGTTCCGTAAATTCGAATTTTCTTAACGTCGGTACCTGACTCGTGGTGGATGGTGGTGTAGCATTTGTTGTGTTGTCCACTGGTGTCTGATAACAGTCCTGATAGATATTATATGGATCGTTTAGTGAGTTCCATACTTGGTCCATGACAATCCCAAGAATCTAAAAGGACCCCTCTGTTTTTTAGTTAAATTTATTGCAATTTCTTTTTTCGATCGTTTAATTTATTTTATTTCGTTTTATTTCGTCTTTATTTACTCCTTTTGTTCCATATTTTCGCAATTGAGTACCATTTTTCATACGATCGTTCGTACGCCTTATGCTTTGCTTGCTCGACTATGGAAAAGGTGGGGCAGTAAAGTTGTCGCATGCCCATCAGGTCACGCCATGCACCTGAGCGTCATTTAGAATGGTTGCGGCACTGGATTTTTGTTAAATCTACATTCGTAACAGTGCATATCAAGGCTCCCACTGCCCTCTGGAAACTCAAGTCAATCGAAGGGATGGAAATGCCGAAAAGGGATGAGTTGGATTGACCGAGATCAGTTGAATGACACACAAATAAACAGCCCCACATCCACGTAATGAGAACCATTTTTCTAAGATGAGTAAGAACTAGAGTCTGAAGCTCACCTCCCACAAGTTGGAAAATTTTCAGGAAAAATGCAAATTACCTGCTGAGCACACCATGGATCAGCCCCATCTCTGGGATAATAATTGCCCAAATAGTCGAAATAGATGTAAGGTGTATAGAAATCGCATTGGGTCGTGTCAACCACACCTGGGCAACATCGACTTGTCAGCGCATCGTATTCTCTGGAATGTATCATTTACTCTAGAATGCGAATCACTTGAAACGGACCAGACAGATCTGAGAGAACCCAAGCACTCATCTTATTTCCTTATTCCTTGAATAACTTGATAAAATGGTAAATCTCTATCATTACAGCTGTATGTCTCTCCCAAAAGGTGAAAAAATTATTCAGGTTTTCCGAGAGATATAGTCAGGGATCCTCATGAGATAGAGAAATTCATGTTGTTTATAAAAGAAAGATGCCAAACTGGTTTATCAGTTGTGGCATAAACTTACGTTTGACCTACAATTCCATAGGTATAGAGCTGCAATATTACAGAGTTCACTTGGTACTTCGTAGTAAGCTCACCATTTCCGATAGCGATTCCCTAGAAAACAGCTCTTTATCTGAAAACCGACTTCTTCATCACGTAACATGAGGGGAATTCTGTATTCCCTGAAGGGAGGTTTGTTGATTTGAATTTTTCTTCCTTGTAAAATATTATGCAGAACCACTTATTTGATAAATCAGCTGTACTTGTCCGGAATGCTATGGAATTAGCACAGTCTTAGTACTCGTAAAGTAGCAAGTCAATCAAAACGCTACTTCGCAGGTACGAAAATAACAAGAAGCCTCAGAATGGGCGCCTTCCGATATCGAATCAAAAATCTGGCCTGCGAACCGTTGAACCATCCCCTATGCTCACTCAATCTGTCGCCGAAAGAGCTCGTCCCCCAACCGCTAAAGCTATTTCAGAGGAAGAAGATGCTCAGCGGCGATAATGAACGCGGTACCGTTACGTACCAAGAAATGGCAGAAAAGTGTGTGTGTGTGTGTGGAAGTGGCAGTGGCCTGATTTTGGTTTGTCTATTTATTTTTATTTTATGTGTCTTGATTTTGCTCCAGATAGTCTTAGTTGCTTCAGCTCGATTAACTTTCGACTGTGTTCGTTACTCAGCAGACAGTTAGCCAACAGCAGAGGCAGGAGTTTTTAGAGTAGAGGGCACTCCAAAACCTTATCGAGGAATTACCTTAAAGTTTATGTTCAGATCCTGTGTATAGATGCCGTTCAAGATCCGTCGGGAAAGCGTCGGAATATAGACACCACCATATGATTCACCAGTAACGAAGAAATCCTTTGATGCATATTCGGGGAACATTGAAAAGAAGTCTTTCAGTGCATTGTAATTCTCGTCGGCTGTCTAAAACTACTTTTCATCAAGTCAACAAACTAATGGGCTTGGTCTAGCGGTAATTATGTACCAATGAAGCACGGTCTCAATACGAAAACGTATGTGGTGAGCTAGTTTGCGGGTAGGAGCAACTATAAGAATCACCTGATCGTCAGTGTAAGCATTGTCGTTCGGTTCCGTGGAATAGGAGTAACCTACATTATGCGGTGCTTCCAAGTAGAGAACGTGGGCGAACTGAAACATCATTACTGAGCGTTTCAATTGATGAGCGAACCAACTTCATCTCAATTTTTATCATAAAATTTAAATTGTGCTATAAAAATGTTGTCCGCACCTCGACCAATCACTTGACCGTTTAGGTTGAATTTTAATAGACATAGGGTTAAAAAGAATATCTACAGTTCTCCGATGATATTCGACAAAAGAGGAAGTCATTTATCGGTTTCTCACAAAAAGCTCTTCCCTCAGCTTTATCAGCTTATCAGTTATTTATCAGCCCTTTTACCACGGAACTTCTTCAGAGCA